GTTCAATCATGGAAGGTTATCAGCTACACTTGTCTTCCTTTCGGCGCAACACGACAAAGCTTACCGAGAGCTGAATCAAAATCTGGCACTATGGCTGCCAACACCATGACTGTCAAGACGTGGAGTGCAGAAAGTGCGTCAGTTGCGCTTCTGTGTCGAAGGTTGAAGGGTAGAAGCAGCTCACTGAATAGGATCAGGCTCTTTTTGCGCTCTGGCCAGGCTTGGGGGTCTTCAGGGCCCAAAGGCTGGGGCCACAAGACAATGCCATTCTTGTCCGTCTTCAAGGAGCTTGCCCACTCATCGCCGAACTGCCGTTGAGCCTCTCCGAGCTCCAGCACGTACTGGCCGTCCTTCTGTTCGAGCTGGTGTCGAAGCGCCATGCCGGTAATTGGCCTATCAGTGAACTGGATTGGCGACGGAGGTATGCTTGAGTCTCCATGACGAGAAGAAGAAGTTGCGCACTTGTCTGAAATGTCGCCGTTCAGCTCAATATCGTGATGAGACGCCATTTTGGCGTTGCGTAAGACAGCGCCGGCACGATAGGGAAGGACGACAAGAACGATAAGCCTTGATCTCCTGACGGTATTTGAGGGGCTAGGTGGAAGAGCGAAGTAGCTGGCGTCGGCACCGTCAAGGGTGTGAACGGCGTCTGGAACAAGGTTGATCAGGGATTTTGGTTGATGTTGTCAGGGCAAGCAACGCGCTCCATGCGGCAAAGCGGGTTTTCGGGGCGCTGATCGAAAGGATTGAGAGCACTCTATACGAGATGAAGCGCCAGGAAGCAAGCAATTCGACGCTCGGCCTGGCGAGACTTAGGTACGGTACGGTCTGTCAAAGCGATCGCTCTGCACACGCTGCTCTTCACCGAGTGTTTCTGATGCCTACACAGGCGTTCGCTATTTACGACGAGGTGGTTCGAGCAAATCACGAGTGTTGTGGTGTGGCTGCATCTCACAATCATTGGCATCGTTCGGAGAGACGAGGTCTACGGAGCAACACAAATGGCAGCTTTGACGCCCACTTTACACGTAGACAGGATTGATTACATGGGGATAAATAAGGCCTCTCCTGCAACGATACACGCGCGATTGCACGCATGCATGCCTGGCAATCACGAGCCCGGTGCCGCGCTTAGTGGTCGGTGTGGGCTGGCTATAGCTGCGGTG